TCGATACTACACCAATAATTGTTTTTTCTAATTTCCAACTTATGTTACTACGTAATATTGAGAGCCGTTGAGTTCAGAGGTTTGACGTTCACAATACGTGAATAATCTGAAATTTGTGATTGCAACTCAAAGTACTCTCCTCACTCAGCGGTTAAGGTTAAGACCTCGTTAGAGTAGGCATAGTGAGCATATGATGTAAACTCCAATAGGCTGCTTCAATGCAACATACATTTTTTTGCGCTCAGAAGCAATAAAAAGGGCTACCCTCCGGGAAGCGGGAGAGAGAGGTGGTGAATGATCTAAGCATACTTCGACAGCCGGCTACGTGGTTATGTGGGACTCACTGCGAAACCTAAGTGCCTACGCACTAAACACCACTTGTGAGACTGGTATTGGCTTGTGTGGCCTTTCTGCCGATGCAACATGCATTGAAACAGCTAGCGGATACTTCTCTGCTACAAAATTCCTCTTAGAAATGAATGAAGGTCTGTGATGTATGTAATAAATCCCTCGCTTTTAATTGAAATAAAAAATTGCGACTACTTCATATTTCATATACTTTTCCAAAAATCAAATCATGGTATTTATGTACATACATATTACATAAGTGTTGGTTTTTAAGAGAATTGCCTAACCTTACCGGTATATATGCTTTTGCTAACCTTGTGCTTAAATTTCGTACGCAGTCTGGGATGCGTTTTATACGTGGTAGAACCATGCTGCCACTATATTAGTAGTATAGTTGTGGCCTGAATGGGTCGGCTCGACCGGAATAGGACCACGCTCTTACAGAATACCAGCGTAAAATAGCAACTTAACACTGCTGTGTTTCGCATGGTGAGTGTAGAGAACCGGAGACCCTTTTTACTGGAAAAGAGGCATTCCATTCAAATCCTCACGGGTGACAACGCATCTGCATTTTGAGACGCAAACGAGCATAGACTGATGTAGATTTCTATGGGCCACAGCAACCACTTACCATCAGGTGGACTGTGTGCTCGTTTGTCACCCTATCCTATAAAAAAAATACAATGACAGATCAGCATTTTGATGTCGGCTTTATCTGGGACTCACATGGTATTGTAATTGTAAACCAGTCCCGTATCGAATTAAAAACTTCTACCAGAGATGAAAGCCTATGGCTAGCAGTGGGACTTATTTAGGCTGTAACTTTACTATTATTTCATTGTAACAACTAAGTTTTGCTATACTAAGTTTTCTTTAAATAAGTTCTATTTAGTTGGAAATATTTGATTGTATATTACGCAAGTGTTGCCTTTGTATAAATTGAACAAGCCGTAATAGCTGTTTATGCACGAAATACGTTTCTATCCTGTCATAGCCTTTTTTCAATAAATTTTCCTTCATTATCATTATCATTAATATTACAGCCGTGCACAAGTCCTCTGCTGAACATAGTGCTCTAGGGGTGCCAAGGTATAACCACAAATCACGGTCGTGAGCCACTTACAACCATCGACTTCCTGCATCTCTTATTGGATCGCCTCTTCATCTAGTGGCCATACACCGTATTACCTTGCTCAATATAAATCTTAGTGATTTCTCAACATTATGCAAAACCTGTCCATTGAACGACACACAATTTTTTTTACGGATTTTATCGCATTTAGTTTACTTAATTTTATAATTACGAGGGAACTGAAGTGTTCAACGTCCTTCAAGACATCCAAGATTTTAAGACACTTTTACTTCTTTTGGCATAGATACATACCTACGTAAACATTCACGCCTGTCACCCAGAGGGGTAGGCAGAGATTACTGACTTCCATTTGGCACGATCCTGATACATATACCTACGCATACATGCTCGTCGGTTGAGGGTACTCTTAATTTCGCCGAAAAATCTTAAATATGAATGTAAGATAATTAAATGACCAATAGTTTCAACCAATTACTACTATTCAAGTAAATATAAGAAACAATTAGCATTTAAGTAACTTAAACCTTATTAAGAAACTATTATTATTATTAAATTTAATAAAATAGAAGAATAACATGTTTAGTTGACAAAAGGCTACAAAATTCTGTACTATTCATATATTATAGACAAATTTAATTAACGTCTATAACGTAAATAATAAATACACAGGCCTTTAATAAAATTTATAGAAACGAAAATTAATTTTAAGGAAACGCAACCAGCGTTCTTGTCACGTTACTACGGGGAGTAGGAATGAACGATAATTTAAGTTATTAGTTTTAGTTTTTTTTCTTAGTTTTTTTTTAATATTGTACATATTAAAATTTAAATAATTTAGAATGTAGTTCACAAATCCTTAATTTTAAATTTATACCCGATGAATCAATTTGTTATTAAAAATATCAATCGTGATAATTTCCATTTAAGCGTAAACGTTCATTTTTCAATATTGTCTTTAATTTTACCATTTTAAATTTGTTGTTACATCAGCGTTTTGTCGTTTACGGTGACGCTAAATCCCACTCACCATCTGATAAAAATATATAACGGTTACAAAACTCATTAAACCGTAGACAATTTAAAAACCGATAACTTTAAAAAACTTGTTGTGCTATAATTTTTATTATGAGTTAATAAAAATACATTTTTTTTTTTGTTAAAACAATGTGTACAGAAGAATTAAAGCAACGACTTCGGAAGCTATTAAATTATGTAGAAACTTTTTTATTATTTTTAGTTTCGTAAACTTTTTAAGTTTATTTATTATCTTGTCACGCCTAGTCGGGACTATTTGTACTCGATAAACATACTCCTCAACAACTTCGAACGTAGTGCTTCCAACAATTACCGGCATTGGAGTGACACAGACGTTACAGGAATTTGGTGCTGTTTATGATCATTTTAACACCCATATGCTGGTAGATACTATTACGGACATTGACCATAGTGCTTGGGTCTCCCAGCGATTCTGCCATAATGACTATGCCGTTGGCAAATCGAACGTGAGTGAGGTGCTCGCCATTTATGTTGAGACTGGATTGGCTTGATACGGTACCTTGCCAGTCCAATAGCTTGAAAACGTCTTCGAGTGAAACGGTGAATTTTTCCAGGTATATAACGTTACCCTGTCTTACATCTCTCTGCAGCTAGTTATGTTTCGTACTCAGGGTCTGTACTTAAAAACGCTTCGTGGCTCTAATTTACGAACAATCCAGCTCTTCTATATACGGTATATTGATGTGCTGTACCGGACCGTCATCCTGGATCACTGAAGGATCTGTGGCACCACCCTAATGCCGTCATTTCGCCGAAATGTATGCATTGCATGCATCTAACAGTAGAGCCACAAGGCAGCTTTTGCTGTCGCACGGATGGGCCGGCTCGAACCGGGGTGGTACCACGACCTCACAGAAAACCAGCGTGAAGTAGCCGTTTACCTCTGCGTTTCGCTTGGTGAGTGCAGGTGGCCGGAGGCCTTTTTTACTGGAAATGAGGCATTCCATCTTAGTCCTCACGGGTGACAAATCATCTACATTTTGATATGTAATAGAGGATAGATGTAGATGTCTATGGGCTGCAGCAACCACTTACCATCAGGTGGACTCTGCGCTCGTTTGTCACCCTTATCCTATAAAAAAAAAAATATAGTAGTAATCTTTAACGTAAGCTTAACTAGTATATTTTTGTATATGTAATATGCATAAGAATGGTGAGACAACAAAAAGTAAAAAAAAAGTGGTGAGTTACAGTTAAATCTAACTAGGAAGGGAAATTCAACATTAAGTGAAAGTGGTTTTATGAAGGAAATAACACATAATTACTACAACATAAAGTAAATTATTAAATCAGATCCAAGGAGTTTATGAGTTTCATAATGTATACTCATCTTATATTAATGTTATTTAGAGTAATTAATCGAAATCGTGATAAACTTAGGAATGAGGATATCCGTATTAGAACCAGAATAACCGACATAGCCCAACGAATTAGTAAGCTGAAGTGGCAGTGGGCCGGCCATATAGCTCGAAGAACCGACAACCGATGGGGAAGAAAGGTTCTCGAGTGGCAGCCTCGTACCGGTAGGCGAAGTGTAGGGCGTCCCCCCACGAGATGGAGTGACGACCCGGTAAGACATGCAGGAAGTCGATGGATGCAGGTGGCTCAGGACCGTGCTTTGTGGCATTCTTTGGGGGAGGCCTGTGTTCAGCAGTGGACTTGTGAAGGGCTGTAATGATGAATGATGAGAGTAATTAACTTTGACGTCTAATAATACAATTACTTGTAAATCCAATTATCCTTTTCACTTCATTAATTAAAAGCATTTTACTTAATTGTGTCGTTTTCGAAGATTGTTATCAAAGATTAATAGTAAATAACAATGGTGTTCGGGACATTATTGTGCATGATATTGGTAAAGTTTATTTTATGGTAAACAAAAGATATGAAAAGATTTAATATTATGCTGATATGACGTATAAGTTACAATTTTCTACAGTTAAATCACTTTCAATGCTGTACTTCTCTGGTTAAAGGCTTGTCAATTATTTTTATAGTGCACGTTCAGACACTTTAATTCTGTCATAAATTTTCAAAAAATATCATATTTACTACTATATACCTATATATATACATATATACCAATTTTTATTATTATATCTATTCTTTAGTATATTATGTACATTATTTTTCTATATTGTAAGAATGTTATAGTTGTTTTTTCACAATTATTCAATTTTATTTTTAATTTTTCAAACAGATGCCAATGACCCACATCGAGCTCGAAACAACGAAAAGAGAATTGATTTTAGAGAAAATAAGTCCAGAGTGCCATTGAAACTAGAAAAACCTATGTTTATACAAACAGAAGTCACGAAAACTATGCAATATTTGAAAAGGTACGATCTTAACGTGTATCCAAATGAAACAGAAATGACTGTGTTACCAAAGTTCAAACCGATTTCAGACGCTCAAATGATGAGAATTAGTGAAATTTTGAAAGAAATATCAGAGAGTACAAATGTGCATAATACAAATAGGTTAAGAAAAGGACGTCTAATAGACAGTACTGCGCAAGCGAGCGCTGCACAACCAGAAATTATAACAGAAAGGGTTCAAGAGACATTAGAAAGACAAGACGATAAAAAGTGCTTCCAAGGTGGAACATGTGAATTCTTTATGTACTGTTGGATGGTTGGCGGACTATTGGATGGCTCTTGCGGAGGCTTGCTTAAAGGATGCTGCCATAGAAATTCTAAAGCCGGAATACTTGGTGTTCAAGACTCAAATAGTATAGATTACGCGCCTAATGAAGGACTGAGCTATGGTCCTGTTATAAATGATGAAAGTAAGTGCACGCTTATGCGGGTTACGGTTTGAGGTCAATGCGGACGTCGTGCTGACACACAATAAAGCATTTTGTATCTAAATACGTATGTTTAAATAAAAAATAAATAATAAAAAATAAAAAATAACTAAATAATAAAATAAAAAATAACTAATTGTATGGTATTTCTTGTATTACTGTTGCTTTTGCAATCATAAAATCATGAAATGATAAAATTCATATGTTTAAAACATTTTAGTATGAATTTTATATATATAATTCAAATAAACATTTTTATATGAAAATAGACTTGGATAAAAATGAAATACGGTGTGTCCGACGCCCTTTGAATGCATTGATTTTCAAATTTGATTCAACAATAACAGAGCTCAGATGTGGTCATTCGGCAAGACATAGATAGAATGTTCGAAGATTTTGCCGCATTTTTTTTTTTTCATTTTAGCGACGAGTGGCGTAAGGAGGTACTGTTTGGGCAACTTGTATATATAAACTGTAATTATGTAACCTATTCAGAATATTTATTTTTTCGCTCTATTCTAACTATGTCTTGCTTTTTCACATCTTTACATATAATATATGTATATACATTATTAACACACTAATATATACTTTATGTGACTGTTACTTTATTTTCTTCTTTCTACAGGTTTAAAAGGTAAGTGTGGATTTAGAACCATCACCTTATTTGATTTGTAACAAATAATTACTAATTATATATTAGCTGTAAATTTGCTTTATTTTACTATGTTATATGAAAACTATATAACTTTAGTTATAAGTGTAATAACTTTTACATACTTAAAAAAGGTCAAAGATTTAATGAAGTTTAAGAGTAATACATATTTTATTTAAATTTATTTTACTAAAGTTGGTCACAAAAATTTAAATACTACTTAAAGACCTGCCGTGACACTTAAAATAATCTGTTGACATCTCACATATACATGCGCATTAACCTGTACGTATATACACAAAATAGCCGCGTGTACGGACGTTTGTGCTGCTAAATTGATCGTCATGCACCGGCGCCGGACGGTGAAAGTCAGATTGCGTAACTATCAGCTGAGAGGTACAGTTGTGATGTAAATGAGGTACAATCACCAGCAAATGACATCGCTCATTATAAGTCAAATTTTCTAACGAAATAAACGGCCATATATTATATTTTATTTCAGGCTAATTTTGCAACTAAACGACGTTTTAACCACCATAAATAGTTTAATCTTTCTTACAAATCCTTGATCATCATTACCACTACTACACCCTAGAATCATCTCAATATTTACACTCTGTAAATGGGCTTCCTTTAAAATTGAGATATTTCCGTAATCATTTCCTTTTTAGGTTATATATTTTTCTTATATTATTATAGATACTTATCCTCGTCCTAGAAAAAATGCAAATGTTATTTTTTTTCTAAAGAAAAGCTGCAAGCGGATTCTTATAAAATTATAGAACAAAAGAGTGGTAATAATATCCCGAAGTGAGGTGATCTCTACCTTGCCGTTTCTAAATATTATCATACTTAATTGTCAGTAAAAAATGTACCATTGCTTGTTCCTTGCTGGTTCTTCCTAGGACTTAGACTTTTCCTAATAAGAAAAAGATAACTTTCCTTAAGTATTACTTATCTATATTGAGATAAATTATTTTATTTTTTTAAAAACGTTACCCCTAGGATTTTTTTTCTACTGGCTTACTTATCCCTAGGATTACACTAGGATTTTTTCGTCCTTCGTTTACAAACATAAATTGCACGAAGACAAAGATCCAGACCCGGAACAATTATTTTTAGACCATACAAATACTATTATATATTCATCACAGAAAAACATTACAGTATCGAAAAAAAAGGAAATGACGAATTAATTACGCTGCCATGAAGACCTAGTACCAGCAGTGGAATTAAAATGCTGATGAATATTATGTTGTTGTTAAAATGCTAAAGCCTTGGAAGTATCAGTAGCATAAGCGACTCTGTCACTCATTCAGTCACGTGGTCATTAAATTGACTAAGGACATACAGACTGGTCATAGATAGTAGATATCGGTTATGCATAAGCTAACATGTCTGCCTACCATTGCAATCTATCAAAAATCTCTTGCCGAACACAGACTTCCCCCGTAGACTGTCTGACCATAATCATTGAGAGATTATTTGCCATAGTTGCCACGCTCGACATCCAGGTTGGTTAAGCGAATATTCAGGTAAAATCTTTTAAATTATGCACCGTAATTTCAAAGGCCTTAACTCTGTAGTAGGTAGGAGAAGGAAGAAGTTTTTCGGTTTTCTTTTTTCGGGATTGTGACCTTGGGAAACTATTAAACGTATTTATTTTAATAATGAATGTCTCATGGTGAGGGCAGTACTGCAACTGATTTCTTTATTACGAGCCACCATAAAATAGCTTTTAAAATATAATACCTTTTTTTTTAATTTACAGTGAAACTTTTGCACTTCGTTAAATTCCTGCCACCAACTTTATCCACAGTTGGCTACGGAGTTTTATTAACCGACAGTCTATAATTAAACTGACTCTTTTACTCCCCTAAGTCAAACATACTCGTAGCAATGGGTGAATTGTTACTTGGCAGCAGAAATAATTAATATATTAAATTAACACTTTATTTTTCGCTGACTCCGACGTAATAAATAAAAAAAAATTAGATGTCAGCTACTTAATTGATTTATAATTATGTTCTTTAGACCGACGAAGACTAGCCATCTGCTACTAAGAATTTAGCGGCAGAAAAACCGAATAACCGATCTTAGTCTGACCCGGAAAATCAGCTGTCTAGTTTACTACCATTAAAATAGCGAGGCAGTAGTTTTAATGGTACCGTTTCAAATTGAGAATCCTGCTCGGAGAAAAAACGGCTAAAGAAACTACGCAGATGTTCTCTCTTTTTTAAGGCCAATGATACAAAAGTCTTAGTCGAAAATGAAAAGCAATAAACCCGTAGGCAATCAAAACCTTTTATACTAGCTGTTCCCCGCGACTTCGCTCGAGTGGAATTTATTACGATTGGATTTCATGGGCTTTAATTTTTTGCGCGGAACCTTAATACTTTTTCTAAAATAAAATTAGCCTAAGTTACTACTTATAACATCAGCTATCTGGAACAAACAGCCAGACAGACAGACAAAAAATTAAAAAAGAGTTTTTGTTTTCTTTTTGTTATAAGAAGTAGTAGTAGTAGTAGTAGTTTCTACTTTCAAATGCATTTAGTAAAAAATTGTTATTTTGATATTACAAATAGATTCTTCAATTTTATTTATTTGTATAGATGTAGATTGTAAAATTACACAACCAAAAACGATGCCATTACTAAAATGTTATAATAACTACGCGCATATTATGTATTTTGCTCTTTTTAGTAAATGACACCTTCATTTAAAATATTTTAAGGTTTATTTAGTTCATATTATTATAATTAGTGTCAATTTTACGTTTTTTAAAAAGTAAAGTAAAAAATTTGTCACCGAATATCAAATCGACGACTGTGTCGCGGCGACTAAGGACTTTCTTTTGTTTTTTTTTATAGGATTAGGTTGACAAACGAGCACACAATCCATCTGATAATAAGTGGATGCTGTGTCCCATAGACATCTACATTTGTCCTCAATTAAAAATCAAAATGCAGATGCGTTGTCACCCCTGAGGATTGAGATGGAATGCCTCGTTTCCAGTAAAAAGGGTCGCCGGTTCTCTACACTCACCATACGAAACACAGCAGCGTTAAGCTGCTATTTTATGCTGGTATTAAGAGCGCGTTTCTACCCTGGTTGAGCTGACCCATTTCTGCTACAACCACCAAATAGATGCAGCGTGGCTCTACCACGTAAAAGTAAGAAGAATTCTTCTTAAGCCTCAGTTTAAACCCATGTTATCACTAAATTACGTTTTATAATAAGACGGATTGTATTATGAACAGTAAGTAATAAAAGAAACGCATTCATTATACACATGTAATAGAGAAAATACTTCAGGAAGCTGTAGTCATTACTCAATTAAAATATAATAAATGAAGTAGAAAACCGCATTTCCGTGTTTTGTGGAGCACCGCGAGTAACAGAATACTGCCTTGCATAACATGAATGTAACGAGAACAGTAGAAATACACCTAAAACTGTAGTTACTGTTTACTTTTAGATTCTAGAAAATGTGTTCCACCAAAAATAGAATATCAACATCTATATATATATATATATCTATATATCTTTTTCTTTTATTTAAACATTACCTCCACATAAGGATCTTTTCGTGTATCGTGGGGGCAGTTTACATACACATATTTTACAAGGGCATACATCCAGACCCAGAACAATTATTTGTAGGCCATACAAATACTTGTTCCGTGCGGGATTCGAAACCACTGCGCCACGGAGCCGTCAATTTATTATTATATATATATATATATATATATATATATATATATATATACTAGAAGACTGCGTATTTGACCCTGACTCACACCAAATAATTCTAATCTACTATATATTTTCAACGAGAGTTAATCTTGGTGTTTCATTATAAATTATAATTAAAAAAATAATTAAATACTCAATGTTTGCATCTTATAATTGTACATGAGTTATATTCTAGTATTTAAAAAAAACCAATCTCTGCTAGAAACCAGTAGTCCTCCCCAGCCTCTTCCTTTCAGATGTGAAGCACAAAGATCTAACAAATATAATTATAAATTTAAAAATAAAGGACAGGAGACATAGATAAAAGAATACATATAAGTACTAGCTGGCCAGGCAGACGTTGTTCTGCCCTTTGCGATGCTCCTTCCTATAAAAAAAAACCCTTAAATTCGCAATAAAAAATATTAAACGTCATTTATCGGGATAAAAAGTATCCTATCTCTCAAGTTGGACCAAACTGCACACAGTGTGCAAAATTTAATTGAAATCAGTTCAATAGTTTAGGAGTTCATCGCGGACAAACAATGTGACTCATAGTTTTTATATATAAAGATAATACAAATAGCAA